ATAGAGGTGGGTATATAGACATGGGTGTATAGAGGTGGGTTTATAGAGGTCGGTATATGCACGGGTGTTTAGAGGGGTGAGTATATTTGAGAAGATGAAACAAAAGAGCCCATGACACTAATTAGATGATAATAAAAGCTGAGCCATGATGTCATGTGAGTGGATAGCTAGTATTCCTAGCATTTGTTGAATTTTTCCTTACTCCCGATGATCAGGTTCCACCTGCAGCTCTTCCCTGGGAGACGTCCACAGGCAGGGAAACTGCTCCGCCCTGCTGTTCTCTCCTCACTGCCCCACAGCCTGGAGAGTGCCTTTATTATTTTTTTCCCCTAAAGATTCAGAATCTTTGTCTAAGAATGGTTTTCTCCACTCTGCTACTAAATTTCCACAGAGGGGCTCACTCATTCCCTTCTGTTCCTTCTAAGCAGAAGTCCAGTCAGGAGTATTACATGGAGGTGAGGTCAGTGATCTGGGAAGGAGGAAGAGAGTAGCAATCCGTGAGGCTGTCCAGAGGAAGTGGAGTGGTGGGCACAGCAGGTGACTAGGAGTTAAGGAACGTAATTATGGAGAGAGAGGCCAGAGGCAGGCAGGCGAGGCGAGGCAGAATCAAATGTGGCCTGTTGGCGACTGTCCAGAATGTGCTAGGAAGGACCTTAAGGATCAAATCCATAGTATCATACTCTTAGAAGTAACGGGGTTCCCTGTACTCCATAGCTCTCAAGCCATGGCTCATGACTGTCATCAATCCTGTTTCATGTCATGTATGAGTCACCTGAATAGACTGAAATTCACCCAGGTAATGAAGTCAGGAGAAGACACACATAAAACATCTCAGGTGATGGGACCAAAAGTAAAAGCTATGGCATCGTATGACTGGGACCTTGGGTTCGGGGATCACAGACTTCTGTCTGCCTCAAGAAGGTGCTTCGTGTGTGAGGTTTTCACCTTTGCTTGGTCTGAGTAGGGTGATGAGTGTCATCTGAACGGAGATGGTGTGAATGGCCCGCCATTGTGGACAGAGCTGATAACGGCAGTCCCTGGAAGAGCGCTTTGGTTGTCTTCTGTCGAAACCAGTGCATAGTGAGGGAGGCAGAAGAGAAGTAAGTGCTCCTGGCCTGTGTGACAGGGAGGAGCCAAGCTGGTCAGGAAAACCAGCATAGGTCTGTCTCCCAGTGTGGTGCCTCATCTTGTTAACTCTCCAGGAGGCAGAGGAAGAGGCAGCCAGCAGTGTGAAGTCATTAGAGGGAAGGGGTATTCTCTGTTCACTGATGCTTCACTTCTGTGAGTCTCCACAGGAGAGCACAGTGGAGTCTGGAGAAGAGTTCTGTCAGGAGAAATTCCTGCTGCACAAGCGTGTGGACCTGAGTTTGATCCCTAGAACCCAGGTTTAAAGAAATCAGTAACACACCCAGTGGCATATCCCTGGAGGATATGCACCAAGGAGGCTCTCTGAGCAGCCAACCTAGCTTGCTTAGCAAACCCCAGACCACTGGGACAGTGTCTGGCCTCCACGTTGATACATACATACCTCATTATGTAGTGTATATGTACACACACACACACACACACACACACACAGACACACACACACACCGGCCTTCTGGGTCTAGGGAAAGGGATGAGCTCTACCACACTTGTACATAGACTTCCTGGTCCTGTCCTTCCTGGTCCTGACATTTTGCCTGACAGCTGGAAAATTGAGCTTAGGAAGGCTGAGGAATTTGGTCACATTTGCAGAATAGCTAAGGGCAAGTCTAGGACAAGGAAGTGAGTCTGTGGTTCATTGATTGGCCCTGCTGTTAGGTTGTATGGGGGTGTGAGAGCCACAAACTCTCTGACCACTGAACTTTGGGAAGCAAAGTAACCCTACTTGTGCTGCCTCTCTTTCTCCCTGCCTCCCTCCCTTCGTCCTGTCCTCCATCCTTTCCTCCCCCACCACCCCTTCCCTTGCCACATTTACTTATACTTTCTGTTGGCAGAAGGAAAACCTCTCTTCTGCTCCTTTCGTCCTTCTTCTGTGAGAGGCGGTGACACAGCCGACACACAGACTGGAGAATCCAAGGCAGAGATCCAAACATTTTTTAACCTTCCGTTGTGATGTCCTGTAAGAGTAACATATTAATATCCCTTCCTCTGGAGTGATTGGATTTCTTCAAAGACAGCACTGCAGAGGGCCCAGGTGACCAGGCTAATGGTTATCTACGCAACTTTGAAATGATTCTGCGTATCTCCTACAAGTAGTGATTTATTGTTAACACGGCCACCTTCAGCTGGGAAACTCCTTAGAGGTCAAAGAAGCTAAGGAATGTTTTAAAGACTGTTACCAATTTTTCTAATCTGTGCTGTTTTTCTTTGTGGTGAAATCCTGGAATGTGTATAAGGACCAGGTGAGGCAGTTAGCAAAGTAATGGTAGCCAGAGAGCTTTTCTTAAAACTACAGAGCTGAAGTATATAACCTAAGAAGTAGTTATCACAAGACGTAATTTAAACTTATTTATCCTAAGTATTGGTTGTGAGATTCCTCTGCCCTTGTTTATTATGAAGACTTTAAAACATTTGATTGGGCCGTTAGAAGAATAACTGTTAAAAAGTTTTGTTTCTCATGGACCCCTTATCATAATAGATGTTGATGGCATTTTTGGTCTTGCTGGTGAGTTATGATTGATTATACAGAACCTTTA